TCTCTAAACTTTTGACTCTCCTAGTAAACATTAGAAAATATTGGAAAAAGCACACAAACATTTAAATGGCTAAAAATCTATAAACATTTTTTGTATGGTCTAAGTCTTCTAATACTTCCAAGTCTTCCCATCTTTTGAAGAAAAACTGGAATATTAATAGATTTATTTTCATATCATTTTCCATTCTTATTCAATTTCCACAGCCAAATCGTTTGAAACGCTTCAAAAAGATAAAACTCGCTTAAGCAACAAATTAAAGGATTTTTTTTCTAATTCAATTAGAGGTTTTCTAGAAATACAACTTTTAGCTTTTGAAATAAGAAAAATATCCTTTAAATTATCATTTAGACTTTTTATGTTGAGTTCGTATTATAACAACACCAATGACTTGTGGCGTTACAGATAAACTGCACACAATCATATAAATCTTGAAACAATAATTTGTGGGATGTTTTTAATTTCAAACGAGAATGTTGCAAATAATTAGCTTTTGAATTAATGAATTTCTCAAGAGACCAGAGCTGCCATTGCTTTTCAACGATCCATTAAAAAAAACAATAAGAAGATAAGGGAATAAAAGAGAAGGAAAGTAAATTACACATTGGTGGAAAAAAATTAATTCATCATCTCAGAGGGATGGTATATGATGACTTCCACTTTTTGTTGTGCCCATATATTGTTGATTTTTCTTTTTCATCATCTTCTAATTTTTTTAATGGCAGCTTCTGTCTCTTGAGAAATGTAATCCGAAAACTAAACTAAAGTTAATGTTAAAAATTGTCAGGAAGGTCTTAGAAGTTGATTAACCTCACCATAGTGAGTGGGGGAAACACGCAATGACCAAACAATGTGATGTTTTATTCATTAACATTAATAATTAATTAAGAAAGTTATGGAAGTCATCAACTGTACTATCCCAATAACATGAATTTTCCCCCTCAGCGTGTAATTTAATTCTTACCCCCCCGGGGGCAGAAAAAAAAAATCACGTCCTCTCTAATTATTTTAAGAATGAAAGGACATTTGCCTTTGGACTATTTCGCGGGTAGCAGTAATTATTAGCATGAACTATTAGCAAAGCAATATTGCCCATTTAAGAGTCAAAATCATTGCAGTATCGCCCCTTGTCTGACCACATTAATGTTGACTGTTAATCTTAAATTAATTTTAGATTAAAGAGAATTTTTACATTAATATAAAAACTAGTTTGGAGCTTGAATTTGATCATAAGTATAAGATTTTAATATACTTTATATCTTATATTTATTATTTTCTTCCAATTAATTTCTGTAACTTATAATTTAATGTTTTAAAGAATGTTTGTTATAATTAACTAATTTATTTCACTTTTTTTAATTAAATCAAATTAGTCAAGTAGTACTTAAAAATTAGATGTATTAATTATCCTAATCAACAGAGCCAAAGATTGAATCATACTAATATTTATATTTTCATGCTTTTCTTTCATATTGTAATTTTTTTCTGAACATAGAGGAGGACCGACTTGTAATAAGGGGAAAAGAAAAGAGGAAATTGCAAATAAAGACCCCCCAATATATAAAATGACAATCAGGGACCTTGAATTTGAGAAATTGCTCACAAGGACCCGGTCCCAATTTGCAATTATGAAATCATGGCCAAATTACCAAAATACCCCTCTTTAAATTTTTTTTAAAAAAAGAACACCACTGCCTCGCCGGAATCCGGCCGCCGGAGCTCCGATGCCGGCAGCCGAATTCCGGCCATTGCCAGCGGCCTTCCTTTGTTTTTTTTTTTTAAAATTGGGGGGAAGTGAGGTTGGGGGGATTTGATCCCCCAACCTAATGCTTCCCAAAATTAAAAATGACCATCGAGCCAACAAATTTTTACTAACATTATGATACAAAAAAAAATATAAGTTAACTCATTTACTCTTGTTACAGGTAATAACAACAATACATTTGAAAATAACAAGTTCTGATTATAAAATAACAAGTCTGAGATTAAAATTTAACAACACGTTTTTTTTATAACAACACACTCTGTTTCAGGTAATAACAACAATACATTTGGAAATAACAAGTTCTTATTATAAAATAACAAGTTTTGATTATAAAATAACTAGTTTGGAATTAAAATTTAACGGCACCCTTTTTTTTTATATAACAACACATTTTATTCCAAGTGATAATAACAATACATTTGAAAATAACAAGTTCTAATTATAAAATAAGAAATTTGGAATTAAAATTTAACAACACGTTTTTTTTATAACAATTAATTATTTTATACTTTTGAAAAATAGATTGTTTATAACTTATAAAAAGTATTTTTAATCTATTTAATTTGCTAAAAAAATAATTTTTATCTCCAATTTATAATCAAAACTTGAAGTGTAATTTATTATAGATTAAAAATACTTTTTTATTGTTCAAATTTATAAATAAAATTTAGGGAAAATGACAACACACTTTTTAAATTTTTTTTTTTTAAATTTTTTAATCTATATATCTATACAACTCATTATAAATCAAACTACTTCTTATAAATTATAAATAGTACAATTTATTGTAGATTAAAAATACTTTTTTGATTGCTTAAATTTATAAATGAAATTTATCTCTAATTTATAATTAAAAATACTATTTTATTCTTTAAATATAAAAACTATTTTTAATATTTAAAGAATGAAATAATAAATTATACTATATTATTTAAATACTTAATAATAAATTTTAATATTTAAAGAATGAAATAATATAAAAATTTATACTATGATTTATAGATTAAAAATACTTAATTATAAATGCTTTATAATTTATAAGGAGTAGTTTGATTTATAATGAGTTGTATAGATATATAGATTAAAAAGTATTTTTTTAGAAAAAATAAATATATTAAAAATATTTTTATAAGTTATAAATAATTTATTTTCCAAAATCATAATATAAATAATTTTTTAAAAAAACGTGTTGTTAAATTTTAATTCCAGACTTGTTATTTTATAATCAGAACTTGTTATTTTTAAATGTATTGTTGTTATCACTTGAAATAGAGTGTGTTGTTATTAAAAAAACGTGTTGTTAAATTTTAATTCCAGACTTGTTATTTTATAATCAGAACTTGTTATTTCCAAATGTATTGTTGTTATCACCTGAAACAGAGTGTGTTGTTATTAAAAAAACGTGTTGTTAAATTTTAATCTCAGACTTGTTATTTTATAATAAGAACTTGTTATTTCCAAATGTATTGTTGTTATCACCTGAAACAGAGTGTGTTGTTATAAAAAAACGTGTTGTTAAATTTTAATCTCAGACTTGTTATTTTATAATTAGAACTTGTTATTTTCAAATGTATTGTTGTTATCACCTGCAACAAGAGTAAATGAGTTAACTTATATTTTTTTTTTGTATTATAATGTTAGCAAAAATTTGTTGGCTCGATGGTCATTCTTAATTTTAGGAAGCATTAGGTTGGAGGATCAAATCCCCCCAACCTCACTTCCCCCCAATTTATAAAAAAAAAACAGTTTCAAAAAAAAAAAACAAAGGAAGGCTGCCGGCAATGGCCGGAATCCGGCCGCTGGAGCTCCGCAGCCGGGGTGGCGGAGCTCCGGCGCCGGCGGCCGAAGCTCCGGCGAGGCAGTGGTGTTCTTTTTTTAAAAAAAATTTAAAGAGGGGTATTTGGTAATTTGGCCATGATTTCGTAATTGCAAATTGGGACCGGGTCCTTGTGAGCAATTTCTCAAATTCCGGGTCCCTGATTGTCATTTTATATATTGGGGGGTCTTTATTTGCAATTTCCTCAAAAAAAAAATACCTCACATGCTATATGGTTCAAGTTTTCGATTTGATGTAAAATCCTCTTCGGGTCCCTCCTTTTCAGCTTGACAAGATTTATTCTGAGAACATTAGCAACATTAGGAACAATTTTTTTACTAATTTTTATTCTATCCATTCAGTTATACAATTTAACATCAAAATTTCCCATCTATATATCATCTCCTCTTTATATATATAATTGTCTAAATATTAAAGTCGTCTTTTCAACTAATAATCAGACATCATGGTGGATGGTTTATTGGGTGAAGAAAGAGGGACAATTTTATTCACAAAAGGCAAATCAGCGTATGTATTAACACGAAATTGATCTAACGTTACTAAAAAGAGTGGAGTTTAGTAGAAGAAGTTAGTCTCTCATAACATGGTGAATTAAAGTTTGAATTCTCATTGAAAGAGATGTTCACATTTAATGCTCGATAATATCTTGAATAAAATTACATCCAATAAGAGAATACATATGCGTAGCGAAAAGGGAAAAAAACCGACTTTAATTTGTATCACTAATAGTATTGGGCCCAGACCGTATCATAACACTCTAATCACTAATCCTTAATTAAAATAATGAAATATTTATAATTAATTTCAACACCTTAGAACAGTGGTTAATATGACTTTGTAGAAAATATGGGAGGGAGTACTTGAAATGAGCAGATTTCAAGTAGGCATTGGAAACATGCTCGTGTTACTCTGCACCTGATTGTTGCTCTGCGCCTGATTATCTGAGCTGACTTTTTTATTTAATGTTAATTATATTTAACACTTCTCTGATTCTCAAAACAAGAATTACATTATAAAATGGATAGAAGGAGTAACTGAGAGGTTATTTGAATATCTAGTCTGAACAAGGCATGACTTTGTCATTTGAAGCGAATCGTACAAACCAAAATGGAACAGAGCATCTCAAGCTTCGAAACAGAATGTTATAAGATCCTCTCATCTTCCACAAATTAATAGCTACTCATTGTAGCAAGTTACAAATTGATATCCAACATGTTAACGTACATATAAATCTTATCTTACAGATTACAACACTCACATGCCTTTTCGTTTTGATTGTTACACTTACACCTGAAACCTCAAATACAGACGCATAATATCTTTTTATTTGATTCTAAATCATGACTCATGATCGAACTTTAGAGTAACAATCATATATCACATTCAAGACTATTTTCATCAAAGGTTCCTTAACAACATGAGACACCCAGACACACATATAACTATTATTACAAAATATTCTCTTCTCCCAATTCACTAAATCTAAGATAACAAAAGGGCTTTCAGTAGGCTACGCTATTGGAGTCCTTGACCATGCAAAACAGCAGCAAAGCTCCTTATTCCTTGAGGCAGAACTCAGTATTTGAATCAGAGGAACGATCAGAGTAGGCATAGCTGCTATTTCACTTGCATCCCATATTGAAAAACAAACAAGATATAACATAATCAGCTAAGAAGAGAATTTTTTTAGGAAATAGAAGATATTAAAAGGAAAAAGGAAAATACTAACAATATTTGAAAAGTTAAGGCGTAGCTAATTTATTACCTCAAGGGAGATCTGTTTTTGATATTCGACCGAATCTTTTGAACCAGAGGGTGAAGGCAACATAAAGTTGATCTTTCAAGTGATCAAACCATCGGAAAAATCTGTGTCTCCATGCTCAGATGAGGAAGAGAGAACCATAAATTCCCCAGAAGCCCGCCGCAAATCCAACCCCCATGCCAAGATACAATGACTTCAGAAAGCCGTCGTCTTCATCTCTTTCAGCTGGCTTTGAGTTGTCATGAGTTTCTTCTTTTTGTTGCACTTCTTTGGAAGAGGATCTCCACAAAGTTCACGATTGCCAACAAAACTCGAGGAATCAAAACTTTGAATTTGGGTTTCCAGTGGAATTTGTCCGATGAGATTGTTGTATGAGAGGTTCAAACAAGCAAGAAAAGACAAATTAGATATGGTAGAAGGAATTTCTCCAGAAAGTCTGTTGTAGCTGAGATCCAGAGATTCTAAGTTTTCCAGGGCTCCAATTTCTTTAGGAATCTTTCCAGTCAAATGGTTTCGAGACAGGTTTAAGGACCACAGTAGAGTAATACTGAACAATTCTTTAGGAATTTCTCCAGATAAGCTATTAGCAGAAAGATCAATAACACCACTTGTAAAATATGCATGAGATTGGTAGTCTAACTCCCTTCCCTTAGTAAATATGCGCATCATTTCATGAAGATAGAAAGATAGGGCGATGTTATTTGGATTTGTGATGTTGCACAAGCAAGAAGGTATAGATCCAAAAACCTTATTATTAGCAAGCTCTAGTATCTGCAAAGAAGAGAGCATGCATATTCCTGGTGGAATATTACCCATAAATTGGTTGGTCCTTAATTTAAGAACTTTCAAAGATCGTGCCATATACGGATTTGGCAAACTTCCAGAAAAATTATTTTTCTCTAAAATGAGGAATTGCAAATTTGTCCAATTAAGCATGCTTGATGAAAATTCACCAGAGAAACTATTATCACTCAAATCCAACTGTTGAAGTCCCAAGGAAGCAAATGAGGGAGGAACTTTACCTATTAGCTTGTTACTCCCCAAACTAAGGAATTCCAATGATTTCCGATTGGTCCAACAATCGGGAAGTGCTCCACTCAAATGATTATATGACAAGTCCAATTCAGCCAAGTTGCTTTCCCCGTTACCCTCTAATTGGCACAATAATGAGAAAATAGATCCCGATAAGGAGCTGTGAGATGCATAAAAATAAGAGACATTTGCTGATAGTATGACATCGGATATGTCATCACTAATTAAGTTATTTGAGATATCAACATATTCTATTCCTGCTACAAAGTTCCAAAATATATCCTTATCAATTGTTGAAATCCTTGATTTAGAAATATATAGTTCCCTTAAAGACTGTTGTGTATATAGCCATAGTGGAATAGTAGGACCTATGCTTGTGTTGCCCATGCCCAATGTCTCAAGTTGAAATGATGGTACCCATTTAGGATCAAAGTCAGATTTGAAACTATTTGAACTTAAGTCCATTGATTTTAAACTTGAGAGACCGGCAAAAAAATTTTCTGTAAGAACACCAACCAAGAAATTGTGCCCAATGTATAAATCAATTAAGTTATGGAGTTGTCCCAAGGTTACTGGAATATTGCCGTTCAATTGATTATAGGACAAGTCTAAGTAGAACAAGGAAGAAATATTTCCAAGAGATGATGGAATTGCGCCATGGAACAAATTCTCAGAGATATCCAAGGACTGCAACTGTTCATATTGGCCGAACCAATCTGGAATTAACCCTTCAAGATTATTAGAATGAAAATCTAAATACTTGAGGTTCTTAAGATTGAAAAAGGACTTTGGTAATTGGCCATGGAAATTGCAACCACTAAGGTCAAGATGATGGATGTGGTGGGTGATATTAAAAAGTGAATCAGGTAACTTTGACTTCACCATATAAAAATTATCAGAAAGATCAAGAACTTCGAGTGAGGTAAGATTGATATAATCATGGGATGGAAAATCTCCAAGTCCAGAATCACTTAAGTGTAACTCAGAGAGTGCAGGAAGCATGGCTATATGATGGAGCCATTTGGTTTCACTTCCAATATCATTGTTAGTAAGGTCTAGATATTTCAAGGAAGAAAGTTGAGAAAGCCAATGAAGGTCTTTTATGACTAAAATATAATTATGTGAAAAATTAAGATAACGCAGAGCAATAGAGAAACTTGCTGAGTGATTGGAAGGAGTAGCAAGTGATTGGTTGTGAAATTTGTGAGCATCAAAGGGAGATTTGGAGATTTGGCATGGTGGCATACTCACAGTTTTGAAGTCATTGTGGCTCAGGTCTAAGTGGTTGAGGAATTCAAGTTGAAGCACACACAGATTAATGTCACCTGGCAATGTATGATTGAAAAGAGAAAGCTCTGTGACTCTTCCGGTCATGTTGTTGCAGTGAACTCCCTCCCATAAACAGCAATCTTCTTCGGTAGTCCAAGAAGAGAGTTGGTTGTTTGGATCAACCACTCCTTGTTTGAAGATTAAAAGTGTTAGATATGATTAGTTTTGATGATGTCAAATAATAGAGCAAAAAGTTTACATCAATTATTTATCTCATATTTTGACTAACTATCATACTTAATATCTTGTGTAGTTTCCTCAAGAAAAGAAAGGAGTTATTATGTTGCACTTTGAGTTATGGAGAATGATCAAGAGGAGGAAGAAGAAGAAGAGAGATTGAGAAAAGAAGAACTTGCAAGATCAAATGAAAATATCAAGATTCAAGTTTATAGATTTGATGTTAAATGTTGCTATACTCAATCAGAAGTTTGAATGGCTTAGTCGGAAGCTAAAATATACAACCGGGAAATTATACCATCATATATTGAGTCACCCTTCATATAAACATGGAAAATAAGCTTCAGAGGTGATTTTCATGGGCAATTATCGATCAATTGATCGATCATCCAATGATCGATCAAGTTATCGATAAAAACACATCCTCTGTTATACTCTGTTCTTCGTTCAGCTCTGACATAGGTTCGGTATTTCTTCCATATCTCTCAAACCACAAATCCGTTTGAGGTGAAACTTGATTCCTATGAAACTAGACTCAGAACACGGTTCATGGACACCAAATTCACCTTCAAAGAGTTTCATATGAGGGATATATGTTGTTCGAAAGATTGAAGTAAGGATTAACGCCTTTATTCCGACCTTTAGTCATTGTGATGAAGATAACTTTGCAACCACAACGAATTTTGGGGTGATTCTTGTTCCATTAGAAAGTAGACTCAAATAGCTTTCTGGGGATAGGTCATTTTCAAAATTTGGAGTTGAATTGGAAGATTTATGATCACCCAAAGTTGACCTTTGTTTTGCTGGAATCAGACTTCGAATTTATTGAGGCAAAGATCAGAAGTTCTACACTGAACGATCAAGTTCTCAAGCAACATGCTACTCAAATATGTTATTGAGTAAAAGATCTAGACGAGATGAAGAAATGAAAAACCATTATCAGATGTTACTCGAGCTTGATCAAGCAACTACGTATTCGATCACTTTATCGAGTTCCTGGTACTATCTCTTCGATTCTTCTCTTTTATCTTCACATGCATTATTAAGATTTTATCAATAACCTGTTGGATAAATGGTTTTTGGATAATGTTATGGATAAATGTATTTATCGATCACTTGATCGATAAACAAGGTTAACGTTATGGATAAATAGGCATTTATCGATAGCATGATCGATAAATAGATTATCGATGAGAAGACAGATAAATGGTAATGCGTTCTACTCATTCTATGTTTTGCTTTAGTCTCCATTTATCGATTACCTCATCGATCAGTCATTTATCGATAATATGATCGATCATTGCTCTTACATGTCTACCCTGTTTTTCACGTAACATGATCGATAAATCAGTTATTTGAATTTACAGGATTAAATCTCCTTGTTTTACTTTATTGATAACTTTATCGATCACTCATTAATCGATCACCTATTCGATCAACCTACATAGCATGTGTTTTCTCCGAATATACTTTTGCTTATTGTTTATCGATAAGGTTATCTATTATTTGTTTATCGATAATGTGTTCGGAAAATCATTACTTAAAATTCTATTCTATAACACTTTGTTTATCGATAACCTTATCCATCATCCATTTATCAATAATTTGTTCGATCATCAATGACTGAAGTTTCATTTCTGTAACACTTGGATTATCGATAATCTGTTCGATCAACAAGTGTTCGATCACTTGTTCGATCATGGAACGTTTTCCGTTTAAACATCAGTCGACTATGATGATTCTTAAAATCAATGATCTATTTTCTTTCAAGCTTTTCTCAGCCTTCTTTTAACATATAACTCTTTATCGAAAAGACACGAAGGCAAACGTAACTTGAAAAGGTTTATTCTTGCATAAATCATTTTTGGGTCACTGTATTCATGCTTCATCATTTGTCGATCATTTGTTCGATCATCATATGATCCATAATCTATTCGATAATTGCGTCTATCTGCTATATCTTTTCTTCATGTAATTAATCGATAATATAATCGATCAAAGCTTTATCGATCAAGACATCGATCAAGTAAGTTCATCTTACTTTCTGAATATCTGATGATTGATTCCATGTTTTCCAACTTATTGTTTCTATGATTATCAGATACTTATCACTTGATCTGAGAAAGATTATTTCAGATAAAAGAGCCACAACAAATTTATGATGTGAAGAATCGACGTTCGTCAGAAGCTTCCAACGGCTAGTTTCAACGGTCATATTCTTCAAGCCAAACGGGAAGAAAAAGCTCAACGGTCAACTACCCAACATCATCTATAAATAGAAGAGCATTCAAAACAAGAAAAAATGAGAAGAGTCTGAGCTTACAACATCAAATGCTAAAATGCCGAATCAACATATTGTCATTTAGAGCTCCGAGAGAAAACTCCCTGTCTCTGTACTTCATAGACTAAAACTTATGTATTCGTAAGATAGAGAGGAGAGTTTCCCAGACGTGCTTAAGTTTCATCTATCACTTCTTTGAGAGAAGAAATATTCAATCTTCCTTATCATTGCTATTACGGTGTGTAAGGGGGAGTATTACCTCAGTGAGAGGTTGTTGTTGAATTAGACTGGTTAGTCGAACGATTGTAAGTGGCGACACAAGTGCCCGGATCAAACTTGTGGTTGTAGCGGTTCTCAAGTACCCGTGTTAAACTTGAGGGAGATAGTCGATTGAAAATCTCAGGGGGAGCCTGGGGACTGGACGTAGGTCAGTGAGGACCGAACCAGGATAAATCACTGTTTGCATCTTCTCTTGCCTTACCTCTTTATATTTCCAGCTAAACTATTTTACTACTGTGATTATGCTTATCTCGATTCATTGTTTTTTATACTCAGAATTTCTTATGAATTTCATTACATTGCGAAAAGATTTTTAATTTTAATCAACACCCAATTCACCCCCCTCTTGGGTGTTCAGCCATTCCAACAAAAAGCAGCCTTTCATCACTTTCATTGCAACTGATCACACTGTTGAATATTGTTGTAAATAGCAGAAACAACAAAACAGAGGAAATTTGTGAAGCGAAGCTAGCCATTGTGGTAAGTTCGAGAATAGTGGCCTCAACGTGAGAAGTCTTTGCATCATATGTATATATATATTGGAAAATCAGAAACTACGTGGTATATCCGCTTAGAGCCGGGAATCAGGGCCGGCCCGGCCCTCCAGGGCCGGCCCTTCAGGGCTGGCGGGCTTAAAAGGGCCGGCCCTCCAGGGCTGGAATTTTAAAAATATCCCAATTTGCTAGGCCCGGCCCTTAAGCTACAGGGCCAGGGCCGGCCCGCGGGCTTTTGGCCCGTTTAAGAAAAAATACTATTTTTTATATTTATCATATTTTTTATAAAAATAAATCAATGAAATTATTAATAAAAGACATAAATATGAATAAAATTAAGTCACATATAAAATATCATCATATATAAATATTCATCAACATCTAAAACATTCATTAACAAGATAACAACATCTAAAAGTTTTATCTATAATTCAATTATGCAATAAATAAACACTATTATTAATCTTTTGAAACTTCATCATCACTATAATTAATTACTTTTTTTCATAAGTATACTTTTCTTTCGTAACAAAAATATCAAGTTTTTCTTCTTTATAAGAATTTTATTTTTAAATTTTGCAATCTAACTATTATTTTACTTTAATGTGAGAAACATTGCTGTTGAAACTCATGAATTTCTAATTCAAATTATAGAATCACAAGTTATATAAGTATAAAAATATTCTATTATCAAATATATATATATATAGTTTAAAAATATCAACGCATATAATATAAATCAAATCATTATTAAAATCCAAATTAACCCATTTTTAAAAATTTAATTGGATAAATTATTATCTAAAACTAAATTTACTTTTAAAATGATAATAATAACTAAATATTTGAAATATTATTAACAATGTAAAAAATTAATAACATTAATATTATATAAAAAATTTAAAAAATAAAAAAATATAAAAGGGCTTAAAAGGGCCGGCCCGTGGCCCTCCAGGGCCGGCCCTTTTAAGCCCTCGGCCCTCCAGGGCCAGCCCTCCAGGGCTTATGTTTCATTTTAAGAGAAAAATATCAAGCCCGGCCCTCATAATTTCAGGGCCTAAAAGGGCCGGCCCGACGGGCTCGGCCCGTTTTCCCGGCTCTATATCCGCTGCACGTCCCCTCATTCTCCTTTAAATTTTATTGGAAAAAAATATTATTTATGAAGCATGAATCTTATACTATGAATTTTGCAATATGTCTAATATGATGGGTAAGGGAGAAGGGAAGCATTGTGTGGCGTGTTGCAAGTGGGAAAGGGAGACTGATCGGCTTAGCCGCCGTTTGTCTTTGGTCCTCCCTTTCCCACAGCTTCCCTCCTCCGTCCCACGAGTTTCGCTCTGTTCTTTTCCTGACAACACGTGATTTAATGGCAATAAAAAAAACTGGAGACAACCCCCTCCACAAGCATACTAATTAGAATTTTGTATAAATATATATATATATATATATTTTCCGGTGTAAACATACATATAATTTCTTTAAATTATATTAATTTTAATAATATATCTTAAAATATTTTTTCAGTAATGCCCTGTATACTGAAATAAATTTTTTTTGGCACAATCAATATTATACAATATTTTTTTTAATAGTGGTTAGCACACTGTGTTACTGAAACCTAAAATTATTTTAAGATACTAAATGTTTCTAGAAAAATCTTTCAGGGTGCTGACTAGAGCCAAAAATTATCTTAAGATACTGGGTGCTCTTGAAAGAAATATTTGAGAATGTTGACTATATTTTTAGGATATTAGGTGTTACTGAAAAAATAATTTATGGTGCCGCCAAAAATTATTTTAAAAAAGTGAGTGCTCTTGAAAAATATTTTAGTGTGCCAATTGTATTTTAGGATGGGATACTGAGTGTTATTAGAAACATAATACTTTTTTTTTCATGAAGAGATTGGGCAGGGAATATAAAATTTTTATACCATTCAATTGTGATATTAATGCCCCTAGCACTGCAGAAAGAGGCAAATGACTCTGCCTCAATAACCAAGGCATGACTCTGTTATTCCAAACGGCATAAACCAAAATGGAACAGAGCAATCACGTGGAACACCATTCGTCAGAAGTTTCTTGCTATCTACTACGCTTGATACTTAACATAAGAATTAATTTAATTTTTAATTTAATCTTAAATATAAGATTCCAATTCACTTCATCTTTCATGTTTATCCATTTTTTTAAAAAAATAGTTCTTGTAGTAGTTGTACATATTAAATGTTCTATCAAATAGTAGTTCTAACTAATACACATAAGTAATAATAGTATTTTTGGGAAGATAACATCTCTTTATAACAAATAAGTAACATAACTAATTTTCTTGATTTATTCAAATTAATCAATTAATTTTTATATTAAGAATTAGAGATAGTATTATGTCATGTACAAGTAGAGTACTGACCAAGCGCACAAGACTCTCAATCTCTCATAAGGTGGAGCCTGGGAAGGGACATAGCTAATGAGAAGGAACGAGGCTTGTTAGTTTAGCACTCAGGAATATAATACTCCTTTAGTCTTTAATGTAAGACCTATTTAACTAGTTTAATTAGATTAAGAAATTTAGATAAGTTAGTTAATTATAAGAAATATGACATGTTTTTCTTAAAACACCATAATCATCTTTCTTAATATCTTTTCTTCCTCTTCATAAGTCATTACCTCAATAGTAACTAAATTTATTCCAAGTAGCTGACTGAAATGTTTAAGCATGAGGGCCACGTTGACATAAAGTTTATCAACGAAACTGTCAAATAATCGGAAAAATCCATGTCTCCGTGTTCTAATGAGAAAGAGAGAACCACAAACTCCCCAAAAATCTACTGCGACTCAAGCTCCTATCCCAAGATACGTTGACTTGAGAAATGTGTCATCTTCATTTTCTTCGCCCAACTTTAAGTTTTGAACTTCTTTCTTGTTAAACTTATTTGGAAGAGGCCGGTCTCCACAAAGTTGAAGATGGCTAACAAACACTACAAAAAAACATTAAATTAATGACAGAATTTACTTTCAAAATTTTTGTCACTAATCAAAATTAGCTATGGATTAGCGACGAATTTAGTTAGCGATATCGTCATTAAATAATTAGTGACGAAATTCAAAATTCCGTCGCTAATTAATAACGAATTATTGACAGTGTAGTGATGAAAATTAGTAACAAAAATTTTATGTTACTAATCCGTTGCTAATTAAAGACAGATATCCTATAAAAATTATGTCACAAATTAGGGATGGGAAATTCCGTCACAAATTGGTGACGGAAATTTCCGTCACCAAATTTTTTTATTTTATAAATTCAAAATACCACATGACAACCACTAATCATCGTGACGTATCATGTCTATGACTGTCACCTCATCACTAGCTACCACCTCACATTCTCCTCTCTTTCCCATGCTGCGATGTCATCCCCTCATCCATATCATCGCCATGTGTGCATCACTATGAGCCGCAATGTTATCAATAGTTGTCACCTTACCAACTCCTCTCTCCTAGGTTACCACGTCATCTCTTTATCTACGTCATCACCACTTGTTCATCATTATGATCCATCATGTCATCACTGGACGCCACCTCGACTTCTCTCTCCCATGTGACCATGTCATCCTAGCATCCACATCATCGCCACGTGTCCATCATTATGAGCCGCCATATCGTCGTCTTGTCCACATCATTACCACGTCACAAATTGAGTCAATTTGTGAAGAAGTGTTGGTTCAAACTTGAGACCTCATGCGTGCTTGCTGAAGCCTTTATCAGTTGAGTTGAGAAACACCTACAAAATTTGTATGCAAAAATAAATATATATAATATTTGTAATAAAAATACAAATAATATAATAAATATTACATACATAATTTAATATATATCATACAATTTAATATATTATTATTTATTTGAATTTAATTTTTATATTTTAGTAAAAATTTCTAATAATTTATATTTTTATTCAAATATTTAAAAAAATAATAAGTATATTATATATTTTTATTTTCTTTTATGTTTATATTTTTTAATTTTTATATAATATATTATTTTAAAATTATGGTATATTATATTTTTATTGTAATAATAAGTTAAAAAATAATTATTATATATTTATATTATCTCTTTTTTTGAATCATTTAAAACAAAATTAATGACGGACTTGTGATAGAATTTAATGAAGAAAAAAAATTCTATCACTAATCCGTCTCTAATTTAATGACGGCACTAATTTAGCAACAAAAATTTTTTATCACTAAGTTCTATCGCTAATTTTAATGACGAATTTTGTTAGAGATTAGCAATGGAATAAAATTGTTACATGAGAAATTGTCCAATGTAATTGTTGCATGAGTCCCTAAAAGAATTTGTCCCTAAAGGAATTTGGCCAATGAAATTTGTCAGGGATTAGTGACGAATTAGTGACGGAATAAAATTCTATCACTAATCTCCTGTTCTTTTATAGTGAAAACACCAAGAATCGAACCTCTAAATTTGAGTCCCTAAAGGAATTTGTCCAATGAAATTGTTGCACGAGAGGTTCAAGTAAGCAAGAAAAGATATATTAGAGATGGTTGAAGGAATTTCTCCATAAAGTCTATTGTGGCTGAGATCAAGAGATTCCAAGTTTTTCATGCCTCCAATTTCTTTGGGAATCTTTCTACTCAAATGGTTTTGAGACAAGTTCAAGGATTGCATTTGACTCATACTAAATACTCCTTCAGTCCTTAATATAGGTACCCAATTATTGAGTTGGTTTTAGTCCTAAATATAAGACCCATTTCTCATATTTATCAGTTTTCTCTAAATTAACCCTATGGATACTCTTTTAATCATAATCAAGTAGAAGAAGGAGAGGAGATATTAAGAAAGATGATTATGGTGTTTTAGGAAAAACGTGTCACATTTCTTATAATTAACTAACTTACCTAATTTCCTTAATCTAATCAAATTAGTTAAATGGGTCTTATATTAAGGATGGGAGGAGTAGCTCCTTAGGAATTTTTCTAGACAACTTGTTAGAGGAAAGATCAATTATCGCAAAAACAAAATGTTAGCATCATCTAATTTTCTTCCTTTAGTATGTGTGTTTATAGTTTCCGCCCACAAAAGCTGATCAGTTGAATCCATGATGTTATATAACCAATGAGATAAGTACCCAATAAGACAATATGCTACCCAACAGTCAGGAATTGCTCCACTTAAATGATTATGGGATAAGTACCCACATAAGACAATATGCTTTCCTCATCACTCTCTAGTTGGCACTATAATAAGAAAATAGAGCCTGACAAAGAATTGTGAGATACATCAAAATGAGAGATAATTGTTGACGGTGTGATATTGGATATGTCATCACTAATTATGTTGTTTGACAAATCAACATAATCAATTCCTGCAATTTATTCTTTTTTGGCCAAATGCATAATTCAAGATTCTACTTTGTTGTGTGATTTTCTCTTCTCGGTTGTGTGTGTGTGTGTGTGTGTTTTTTTTTTTTTTTTAAATATTGGTGAGGCTGTCATTTATACTTCTATAGGTTGTAGACCAAGAGTGGCGCTTTCGGGGCCCATGTATGTGGGTTCTTGATGCTTTCACACCAAATAGAAAAGAGGCAGAAATCAACGGGATTGGGCCTGACCTAACGAAATGATTAATCTGTCACATGACAAACCAAAATTTAAATATCCGCTGAGAAGTATTCACTTTTAATGCTTAACAATATTTCTGATGGGGAGATAATTATGCATAATAAAAAAATAAAAAAAAGAAGAGGGAAAAATTTAATATATGAGCAAATTAAAGAAATTTTGAAGGGTATAGGTAAGTTTGTGAAGCGAAGCTCGCCATTTTGGTAAGTTTGAGTATAATGGCCTAAGGAAGCCTATATATGATATACCAATATATACCGGAAAATCTGAAGTAATAAACAAAACTTAAACGCTTAAAAATTTGTAACCGCATGATTTTCATTGTGAAGTCCAATATCTTAGTGATTTTTTTTTATTTTAAAAATGATTGCAAACAAAACAAATCCTGCATGGGCTCCATGAATGGCATGGAGCTTAATTATTATATTTTATACTTTTATTAATTACTGAAAGAAGCATATATACAGACACATATTGACGTGAAAGTGAATTAATTTTATTTATTTTCACTTTACTCCAGAAATGAATAAATGAATTGAGATCACTGAAATTTGAATAACTATAAATGAGCTGTAGTTTTATTTTTTTCTATAAGAAATTGGACTAAATTTTGCTTCAAACACGCCACAAATTAAAGTCTGACCTCTCTAATTCAAGTCATATTATAGGTTGAAATAACAAAACAAATGCAAGTTGCAAAACGAAACTGTCATCGTGATTTGCTCGAGTAGAATGAACTCAATTAAGCCTTTATTTATAAGGTCAGGATATTTATAAGTTGTGAAAATTATTGCAAACAAATTGCAGCTTAAAAATTTTTGGAAAATCAAAGTAAACAAATATTCAAATGCCCAGGAAAAAAAAAAAAATCTGTAACCACATCTTTTGTGTAGTAAGGTCTTCTAATACTTCCAAGTCTTCACATCTTTTTAAAGAAAAGTTGAGACGTTAATAAATTCATTTTTCACAACCAAAGTAAAAGTTGCTTAAACAACAAATTAAAGATTTTTTTCCATGACATATAATATAAATAGACCATTCACCTAGACGCTATATGCGAATACAACTTTTAGCTTTTAGAATAAAAAGATACATCCTATAAAGAGATACTGCACACAATAATATATATCTTGAAATTCATCAATAGTTTGGGGGCATGTTTTTCATTTCAAAACGAGAATTTTTGCAAATTATTCAAACGTAAGTCAAATATTTATTTATTGAAAGAAAAATAATTAGTATTATTTTTTATTTTGGCTCTGAAATGAACAAATTAATTAATTATATATAATCTTGGAATAAATATCCATTATTTTTGCATCATAAGTTCTTTTTCGGTCAAGCATCATAAGTTTGATTTATATGGAAATTTCTTTACGCAGACAAATTTCTCAATTAATAATATATTCTTTTTTATAAAAATAAATACTACGTTCCATAGGTCCTTACCTTCGTTTTAGTTGTCAAATGTTTTCCATCGGCGTGTAATTTACTTTCTCATTGTCTCGTCTACCAATAATATTTCCAAGTGTTCCCGTCTTTTCCATAGAAATCGTGTCATCAATCCAATTACTCCACATCATGTTACCTGCCTTATATTCTTATTTTTTTTTCAATTTCCAAAACCAAGTTGAATTAGTGGATTTTTTAACTACATCTTTTCTTTTAACATTGTCAATAAGAAAATACCACAGATATAATCTGCTATATGCTTAGATCCTTTTAAATTTGGTAGGTGTTAGGGAAAAACTGGAGGCAATTACGTATAAAAATATGGAGGGCCAAGAGCTCACTGATTTTTTATTGTAAAAATGTTTTTAACGCGCATGTCGCTATGCATATGATTTTAGCCAAGTTTGTTATTTAATGTTTATTATGTTTAATAGCTGAGAGATTATATTTGATTACTTAACCTACCAAGGCATGACTCTGTTATTTCAAACAGTATATACCACAATGGAGCAGGGCATCTCAAGTGTCAAAACACAGAATGTTGTTATTAGATTATTTGATATTTGATTTGATTCACTGTGTTGCAAGTTTCAAGTTTTGATACTGAAATCTTTAAATACAGAGGCATATAATATCTGTTTACTTTGTACATTCATATATCACATGGAGCACCATTCATCAAAGGGCTTCTTAACAACATAAGACACATAATTGTTATTACAACATGTTCTCTTCTCACAATTCACTAAAGTTCAGATAACAACAGGACAACTGATAGGTTTGACCATGCTTCACCGTAGCAGAACTCCTTATCCCTTGAAGCAGAACTCAATATTTGAATAACCATCAGAGCGGTGATAGCTATTTCACTTGCATCTGATAGGCAAACCGCATTGAAAATAAACAAGATATAACATAATCAGCTAAAGAACAATATTTTTTAAGTAAAGGAAGCCAATTTAAATAAAAACAACACTTGAAAAGTCAAAGAAGCTCATCTATTACCTCAAGGGATATTTGTTACTAATAGTTAGCTGAAAGTTTTGAAGAAGAGGGCCCAGGCAACATAAAGTTGATCTGCCAAGTGATCATACCATTGGAAAGATTTGTATCTCCATGCTCTGATGAGAAAGAGAGAACCACAAGCTCCCCAAAAACCTGCTGCAAATCCAACCCCCATACCACAATACAATGACTTTAGAAAGCCGTCATCTTCATCTCCTTCAGCTAGCTTTGAGTCATGAGTTACTTCTTCCTTATTGCACTTATTTGGAAGAGGATCTCTACAAAGTTCACGATTGCCAACAAAACTCCAAGAATCAAAACTTTAAATTTGGGTTCCCAATGGAATTTGTCCAATGAAATTGTTGTATGAGAGGTTCAAATAATCGAGAAAAGACAAATTGGATATTGTTGAAGGAATTTCTCTAGAAAGTTTGTTGTAGCTAAGATCAAGAGATTCCACTTTCATGCCTCCAATTTCTTTGGGAATTTTCCCGGTC